AGAAGGACACAGATTCGATCCCCTGCACCACATGCCATGCTGACCCCAGAATCCCAGGTGCACTGTGCTGGCCACTTAAATGGGATGGTGGTGCACACCTGTAATCCCAGTGCTGGGGACACCGAGACAGGAGGATCACTATGAGTTTGAGTTACATAGTGAGACCTTTTACCAAATAAATAAATATATATTTTTTAAAAAATATGCCAAGCCCCAAATCATTGAAAATAAGGTTTATCATTTCATTTGGCAGTAAGAAAAATACATGTTAAAAAAAAATGTGGGGGGCAGCCAAATAGCTCAGCAGATTAAAGCGCCTGCAAGCAGGCACAGGGACCAGGGGTTCGATCCCTGGGCTTGCCATGCTGGCCCCACCCCTGGGGTGCGCTCAGATGGCAACTGAGACTAGGCATGGTGGCGTGCCTGTTATCCCAGCTCTTGGGAGACTGTAAACAGTTGGATCACTAGGAGTCCGATCTAGTAGTGAGACCCTGAACACCCTGTAGACCCTTCCCTAAAATACAAAAAAAAGCTCAGGGAACAGTACCTTTAAAGCATACAACACTCTTCAGGAGTTAAGAAATTCAGTTAAGAAATTTAGGATTTATGCCCAGCTGACCTACCCCTGCAAGACAGCCATGGTCCCTGGCTCCTCTAACCCAATCTCACCAGCTCACCTCTTTAATTATGCGTGCCCCTTTCTTATCACTGAACTCCAACTGAGCCAAAGCCTGGTCAATGGACATCCCTCGTATCTAGAATGAAAGGGTAACAGACAAGAGAACAAATAAGTTAATTTACAAAATCAATATTCCCTTTTCAATGAAAAGTAAAAGCCTTACATAATCTAAATAACTTTTAGAAACAGATTAAATCCAGGCAAAAGAGAATAAAAGTTTGAGAAGGTACACCATTCTCTTTAAGTCAAAATCAAACATTTTGATTCTAAAACCTAAAGTCCAACAGTCCAATGACCTTTAAAGAGTGCAGACATGACAGAGAAATGACCGGTTGGCAACGATCCCCCTCACAAAGGCAGGATCTCTTCCTCCTGCAGGACAAACGTGTCACATCTAAGTGTGCAGCTTTGTCTCTCCTTACCCACAAATTTCATTTTCCAAGGAAATAGCTGAAAACTCCACAGTACTTAAGTAGGCTGAACCAACTTTTACAGATAGGTAAGGGAGGAAGTTTTAAATTCTCTGGTACACAGCCAGGCTCCTCGTGACTTCACTTTAAATATCTATATCCAGGGGCTGGTGAGATGGCTCAGTGGTCTAAAGCACCTACTTAGAACAAGCTTAGCAAAGCAAAGGGACCACTCCCCCAGCACCACATGCCAGCCAGCCCCACCCCCTGGTGGGCCGAGCTGGCCACACACACACACACACACACACACAAATAAATAAATAAGTAAAAGTTAAAAAAAAAAAAATCTATATCCAATGTGATTTAGTTTCTTAGAAAATGGGCTGAAATTAAGCAAAACACACATCTCTCATCAATCATTCTTTTGGTTACATGTAATTACTTGTACCTCACTTTTTGGGAAAATCAGAAGAAAATTTTCTTCTACTGTTCAAGTCCTAGGGGAAAATGTATAGCTTCTTTTCCAAAAGTTTCAGTGTATAATAATAGTCAGCTTACCAATTTTGCCAAATACCACATCTTGTCTTTGCTGTATTTTATTTGTCTTCGACAGTGGTAGATTTCCTTACAGATAGAGAGAAAAAAAAGTCTCAGCAGGTTTATCAAAATTACAGTGACGTATAGTTTCTACTTCCTGTGCCCAATGAAGATAGTGCCACAAACAAAAACATTACTAAAAATTTGGACAGTGTCCCTACACAATTACTCTTCACCATCTCACCTTGCTAAAAGAGTACTAAAGCAGAGGTAAAAACTATAAAATGACCAGTTCAGGTTAGTAGTTGCAACATTTCTGTCCAGAAAATAGTAAGAAATAGATGAAAGTATGTGGAAAGCATTTAGCTGGTTAGCATTTAATAACTTTTACTTAAAGCAGAGTGTGTAACTCGTTTCCTTTTTAATCATTTAATACACAACGTATAGCTCACAAATAATCTTTCTCACGTCGTATCAGTACTGGTCTGTAGTACGCAAGGTCGGCGTCCCTGGTGACCCTGCTGTACACAACACATCCAGGCTCCTGTCTTCCTCCTCTCCCTTTCCTGCCTGAAGCTGCACCTGCTGAGCCCCTTCTTGTCTTTTATACTTGTTTGTAATGCAGGATGTCTGCATGCCTGGTGTGGAGCTGGCACATAGCACATTCCAACTGCTTTTGGGCCCTTTTCCTCCCCTCTACCTTTACACCGTTATTTCATTTAATGTAACTATAAGTAGAGAGGGGAAATCTTTTATAATCCTTTAGATCTTATTGGTACATTTTTAGATATGCATACCGACCACATTCATCACAGATGGGCATCATATAACTTGGGTTTTTTCCCCACTCCACTACCCTCCCTTCTACCTCTCCTCCCCTCTCCATTTATAAGGCTTTCTTCCCATTTTATCCATCTTTTAAGAAACTGAGCCAAGCATGGTGGTGCACGCCTGTAATCCCAGCTCTTATGAGGCTGTAAACAGGAGGATCATGAGTCCGATCTAGTACTGAGATCCTGAACACCATGTAGACCCTTCCCTAAAATGAAAAATAAGTAAATAAATAAATACCAGTAACTTCTAAAAAAGCCAATCTAAAGCTGTTTCTAAATGCATGAAATAACATCAATGAAGTAAAAGTAATACCTAATAAATAATAAAAAGTCTACTAGAAAGCTTTATTGGATCCACACTGATCATCATTATTAGTCTGTTGATTAATGTATAGATTAAAAATATGCCTCTAACAAAAATGGTTGTTTGATTTTGATATCTTACTATAGTTTAACTTATTTAACAGGTTTTTTTAGAATCAAAAAAAAATGCAGCCCAAAGGTGTTTAATTTTTTTTCCTATTTACTTTATCATAAGGAAGCAACATATAACATTTAGGTGACATAAGAATATTATTTGGAACTTTGTACTAGCTAAATTAGGAACTTATTTTAAAAATATTAGGCAAAGACCCAGTCCTAGCCCAGGTCCGGTGAGTGTGTGGAGAGCTTCCTGCTAACCTGCGCCGGCGGGACCAGTCCCAGCCCAGGCGGAGTGTGGGCCGGACCCTCTCCCACCCCCTCGGGCTGCAACCCAACACTCTGCCGAGTAGGAATTTCTGCCGAGTTCCGGGAACGCCCAGACCCAGTCCTAGCCCTGATCCGCAGCGGGAAGAAACTGAGCACAGCAGCCAGACCTAAGCCAGACACAGCTGGATAAGTCCAAACTCTGTAGAGCTCCACCT